TTTTTTTTATCCTCTATCTTTATTTACTCTTCACAATAGCCCAATAAGGAAAGAACTCTTACCTTAGAAGTTAATGAACAGGGCACAGATTCTTAGGATAATTTAGGCAGTCAAGAAGCTACTAGGTGAAAGAGCTAGCTTTCAACTCAACTACGACCCGAGAGCCCATGTACACTACCACTAGGAGCTGCAAAGGTGGCATCCAAGCCACTGAGAACATGTGTGTGTGTGTGTGTGTGTGTGTGTGTGTAGACATCAATAAATACTGTAAATACAGAACTGAGTATCTGAAAAGCTCAGAAAAACCCCAATTAGAATAACAAAGGACTTAACTGAAAATACATGAATGAGACACTATCTCTGGGACCAGGAGCTAGGAAATGAAGGAGACTTCTTGGATGCTATGGTGTCTTGCTCAAACATTTTATCCTACATACATGCCCCTATTAAAAACAAAACAAAACGTCTTTTATTGAAAAGATAAATCTATGTGCTGCACTGAGTTACTGAGTTCAAAACTTGAACTTTACTAGACTGGGCCTTTGCCAGCCAAAGCCCAGGCTCCAGCCGAGGCCAAGGTGCCAGCTTCTGCTCCAGCCCAGGCTCCCAAAGGTGCCCAGGCCCCCATGAAGGCTCCACAGTAAAAGCCCACTTTTACTCTACTGTAAATCGTGGCTGCCAAGCACCTAGAACCAGAAGAATCCAGTGTTTATTAACTAATACTTTAGGTGCTAGGTTGTACTATTGCTGATTTGAAATGACTGCCATCTGAGACCAAGAGAAGAAGGAGAAGTGGAGTAGTGCAGGGAAAAGGCAGCTTTTCCCGTAGGACTGACTGTGTCCCCTGAATTAATACTACTGCCTAATTTCCTACCTGGTGGTGAAGTCCACTGTAGAGAGCCCATTAATACATTTCAGAAGAGGAGAAAAATTCATATTTTCTAAGAAATAGAAATAGATAACTCAAGAAAAGCAATCCCAGCCCACAGAGGCCTATTATATCGGGTAGGTTCAAGGCAGGAGAGACACAAGCAATGGCTCATGCATGTCTATGCTGCTTGAGACCACAGAGCACTAAAAATGAAACCATCCTACCATCCTTCCCCATTTTCATTTTCAAACTAAAAACCCCCATGATGGCCACAGGACCCAGGGGACAGGGTCTCTTGCTTAGACATGAGAGTAGATGACCTCATTTTCTTCAGCAGGTGGATCCTGACATGTTGTGCACAAAACAAAACTTCAGTGAATCAGTCCATACTTTAAAAGCCTATCGCAGAAGTCATTGTTTCAGTAACTTGAATAGAACTTCTTTGCAAAGCAAAGAAGGTGATAATAATGTCAACAATGTGTTTTTTACATGATTTTTATGGCAGCCATCCAAAGCTTCTAGTTTCAGCTTGGAGTCATTCACCAGGACATGCCTAGGTGTCTGAAGTATGATGGGGCACCTTGGTCTGGAGTCTAAATTTAAGACATCAAGAACTTTTCCTGTAGAAGATGTCATTCTAAGAAGAGTTCTGTTTGAAGTCCACATAGTAAAGAAGGTTCATGGCTGGGGAGATAGCTCAGCCATCTAAGCACCTGCCTAACAAGTGCAAGGACCTGAGTTCAACCCCCAATAGTGCATGCTATGCTGGCCCAAAACCAGGCATGGTGGTGCACACATGTAATCCCAGTAGGGGAGGCTGAGACAGGAGGATCACTACAAGTTCAAACTGCAAAGTGAGCCCCTTTATCCAATAAATAATTTTTTTAAAAAAGAAGCCTCAGACACTGGAGGATGAGGGGAGATTCAGAAGCAACAGTTATGACACCTTTGTGCTCGGATCCAGTCATACAGTAAGAGTGAGCTACAAACACAATTTTGAGAAGATGCCACAAGGTCCTCCTCTGATCACCTCATCAAAGTGTGTAATATTCTCCCCTATTCCCACTCTGAGCCAAGTGAGCCTTGGCAACTTGAGGGCTCTAGGAGTCCCAGCTTCCATCTGGACCTTTCAAAGTGCCCCAGGGCAGTAGGAGACCAGGATTCCTGGCAGTGGAAGAGAGGCACAAGCACTGCAGGGACAGCCCTGTAGCACAGTAATCAAAGTCCTTGCCAGGAGCTCCCCAGGAGGCCACTAGGGGGAGAGTAGGGTAGTAGTGAACCTCCCTGGAACATACTGGGACAGCTGAGGAGAAAATCAGCAACTGACACTTTAGTACCACAAAGGTATCATTTATGCATGCCCGGCTCTCCACCTGGAGACTTCTAGAAATGACTACATAAGATTTGTAGGAACCAGGCCAGTCTGCAACAGATGATCAGGGTGAGAGATAGGAAATAAAGTTTGGGAAATGACTGATAGTAATATCTTCTGTGTATCCTCAGGCTCAAGGGTCTGGAGGGTACCTTAGGTGTTTTACAAATATGAAATAATGGGAGTACTAAATCTTAGCATCTCCATCTGGAAAGCAAAGCATTGTTTTTGAAAAATCATAGCCAGTTTTAGTTTCTACTTTTTCCTCCTGTTAAAACATTGTACATGATTTCAGCTTTACTTTCTCAAGACATGTTAAAGTGCTGAGTCACTAGAAGAAAAAAAAAAGAAGAAAGTAAAGGAAGAGTGATCTTGATCCTTAGGGCTAGCCTCAATGATGACCTAAGCCACACTTTTTTCCCCAGTTGTGATTCTTTTCTTCGATGCTGAACGACGTCACATTGCACAATCTTAATGAGGTTTCCAATCAGCCCCACCCACTCTGGCCCCACCCCCATGGTCCAACAAAGATTTTATCAAATGTGGGATTTTCCCATGAGTCTCAAAATCAGAGACTCAACTCCCAATAAATATGAGACAGGGGATGTCTGAAGCTCACTCTGCTCCTGAGCCCACCAGGAACGAAACAGAGCTATCTCCACCTTAGCTCCATCTGCCTTCCAGGAACAACCATGAAGTTCCTCTCCACAAGTAAGTGAAGGAAACCCCTAGCCCTCGAGGAGCTGGCTGGTGGTGCTCCTCCCGTGTGAGGGAGGAGGTGTGTGGCTGAGAGAGGGCTGGCGTCCGGCCAGCACCAACAGCAGGCTCCCAGCTGTGCTGTCAGCTCACAGGCTGCTCTCCCTTCCTCTCGGCACAGGCTTCTTCCGTCCCCTTGCCTTCTTGGGACTGCTCCTGGTAACAGCTACTGCCTTCCCCACTGCACACGTTCAACTTGATTTCACAGCTGAACCAACCACCTCGCCAATTAAACTGACAACGGCTTCACTTGCCTTTCAAAAGTTTTCAGAAGTCTACAAGGATGTCAAGGAACTGAAAGATGAGGTGGGTAACTTAGTGATGGCCCCTCCATGGGCATTCATTCATTCTCCTTGACTCAGTATGGACAAGGGGCTTGTTTGCTGGGCAGTGTCTGCTAGCTTCTGGGATAGATTAATCCAGACTGTGGTCTGTGTTTCTTCTTTGCTGATGGTATCAGAAAGTTCCTTCACTTTCTGAAAAGTGTAGAATGGGGCTGGAACTCATAGTTCCTCACCCATTCTTAGCTTCCCATTTAGGCTAAATAGTCAGGGATTCTTTTTCTCTGATTGAAAAGTAAGGTCCACCAACATTTATTGTGTTCCTTGGACTTTGACAAAAGTAGAAAAATACCACTAAAATGAATGTTCAGTTGCTCAGAAGTTGCAGTACTTTTAGGTTACATAAGTTAATGTAAGTTAATGTAATGACTCTCCAGGGTCATTCTAGCCAAAATGCTACCTCAGCACCACAAGGGGCAAAGTCATAAATAGGCTAAAGCATCTCCCAACTTTAAATGAAAATGTTGCAGCTTTGCTTGATATGAAAAGAAAAAAGAACACAGGAAAGAGAGGATTGGGAGTCCAGATTGTCATTGCTAAGCTTAGTGATCTTGGGAAAATTCTCCACCGTTTCTGGACTCTTATCTATAAAATTATGAAGTTCAACTAGATTTCACAGGTCCTTCCAAATAGAACATTCTGTGGCTTAAATTCTATTTGTTATAAACTATCATTGAAATTTTTATCACGTGCTTGTTTGTTTGAAGACAGGGTCTCCTATATAGTTCAGGCTGGCCTTGGCTCACTTTGTAGCCTAGGCTAGCCTCAAACTCTCAGTGATCCTCCTGCCTCAGCCTTCCAAATGCTGAGATTACAGGCATGTACTACCATACCCAGCTGTTATCATTTATTAAGAGCCAATTACATGCACTTTATATGTTAATTGTATATAATCATCTGAAGAAACATACATGAAAAATGTTGAATGATTCTCAATTTGGCATGGGCCAGCCAGATAGCTCAGCAGACTAAAGAGCCTGCTTAGGCAGAGCACAGGGGCAGGGGTCTGATCCCCCATGCCATAAGCCATGCCAGCCCCGCCCCCAGGGCACACTGAAAGAGCAATTGAGACTGGGCGTGATAGCACACCTATAATCCCAGTGCTTGGGAGGCTGAAAATAGGAGGATCACTACAAGTCCAATTTATGTAGTGAGACCCTGTAGACCCTGTGCTAAATACATTAAAAAAAAAAAAAGATAAAATTCTTAATTTGGAAATAAAGAAACTGAGATTCGGAATAGAGAACAAGCCTAGAGTGTCAGGTAAGCCTGGAATTGAACCCAGCTAATTTCACTAGACTCTGCTTGCCAAGATGCCAGTGAGCTGTGACTTCCTTTTTTAAAAACAGAGTTATTAAAAAAAAAAAAAAAAAATCTTTCCTGACTGTGACAGAACATGAATTGGCCCTCTAGTGGTGTTTGTCTTAGGGGCACATAAATGATAACAATTCTTGTATTCTTTCCTAGATGTCTGAACACAATGTTGAAACAGTCACACTGGACGAGCTGACTCTCCCAACGATAAACGAAGAAGACGGATGCCACTACCTTGCCTACAACTGGGTAAGAGCACATCACATTTACATTAGCTATTTTCCTTTAGCCAAAGTTCTTCTCCTTTTCGCTTGCAGTACCTATAGCAACAAAAACGGGATAGATTATATAGATAATATAAAGGTCCATGAAGAAGCCAATTTAGTATTTTTAAGACAGTTTACCTTTGAACCAGCAGGAATCTTCTTTGTGTGCTGGAATTTTTCTCTCTTTTTTTTTTCTTTCCTCTCTTTTTCTTGTCTTTTGAGACAAAATCTTACCATGTAACCCAGCTTGGCCTTGAATTCCCTGGGTAGCCCAGGCTGGTCTCAAACTCACAGAAATATTCCTGCCTCAGCCTCCTGAGTGCTGGGATTACAGGCATGTGTCACCATGCCTGACATGTTGAGATTTTTTTCACAAATGGCAAATGCTAGAAGCCCGACCAAGTTTACCTACTTCATCCTTATTAAGGTGGTTGGGAAGGATCTCTCCTCTTTGGCTGCCACTGGCAGGATCCAGGCCCATCCTCCCTGATGAGTTCATTCTCCACATACCTCTTCTTCTAAACAGTGAGATAACTTGCACTGATTTATGATTATGCCATAAAAGGAGATTTCAAGCCCACATTAACATGGGTAGGAGTTCAGGAAGAGCACTGAGAGGGAGTCAGAAAAGGATCTTCTCTGCCATGCACTTGTAGCTGTTGGGCTTTAGGTAAAAGTCAATAAATGAACCTCTGACTGTCCAGATATTTTTAAAGAGGCAATTGATGATGCTGCCCAGTGTCTTAAGCTACTTTTCTAGAAGAGTAGAGGAAGAAGATGCCAAATTATAAACAGTTTAATTTTTCAAGTTGGTGCTTGTCTCTCAACAGTAACAGATCCCCCTTCCATCTCTTTTCGTAGGAAACATGCCAGTCAAAAATCATCACTGGTCTTCTCGAGTTCCAGCCTTACGTACAGTTCATACAGAACAAGTCTCAGGATGCCTCTGAAAACGAAAAGACTGAAAAAATATACACTGGTTTCCAACTCCTGAGTCAGCTCGTGAAACCTGAGGTGAGAGCTCCTCATCTTTTATGAGGAGTGGGGGGCACCAGGGACTGAACTTGGAACCTTGTGCTTGCCACACAGGCACTTATGCCACTGAGCTATATCCCTGGCCCCTCTTCATCTCTTCTGGGGCAAGGAGAAGAGAAAACCCAAGGAAAGTGTCTGACAACTCAGGATGCAGTGCTGCTTTGACAAAGATAGCTAGATTCAGATGAGAGGGTCTGAACAACAGTTCTTAATAGTTGAACTTTTTAAAATCTCTTCTGCAAAGAATATCAATAATGGCATTTAAATTTTAAAATAAACTTCATGGACTTAAGCATCAATTCATAATATCTTAAGAGACAAGAAAGAAGTATCTTTAAGAGTCAGCAGAAAGGCCAGTGAGATAGCTCAGTGGACTAAAGCATCTGCTTAGGCAAGCTTAGGCAAGCACAGAGACTGCAGTTCAATCCCTGGCACCATGTGCCACACCAATCCCACCCCAGGGTGGGCTGAGGCAGCTATAGAGTTCAGCCATAGTGGCATATGCCTGTAATCTCAGAGGTGGGGAGGCTGAAAATCAGGAAGATCACTATGAGTCTGAGCTGTGTAGTGAGACCCTGTAACAACCAAATGCAAGAAAGAAAGAAAGAAAGAAAGAAAGAAAGAAAGAAAGAAAGAAAGAAAGAAAGAAGCATGTTTAACCCCACTCAGTGAACCATTAGAAAAGAATGGATGTCACAAAAATGATGCTAATATTTTAATCGCTGCCAAGTGACATTGTTGTTGCTAGAGAGTTAATGTAGAGAAATGGTCAGAGGTCAAAGACTGGAAATCTAATATGAAAAGGAGGGACAAAGGGCTCCAGTCACCACTAGCTGTCATGAAACAGCAGATAATAGGAGAGCTGATGGCTCAGAGACTGGCTAAATCAAGCCAAGTGCAATGAAAGAGCCCTAGAAGAAAACTCTAGGTGCTAAATTTGCTTCTGCAACTTCTAGTTCTTCGCCTTAAATTGGGCCTCCTCATATTTGCCTTTACATAGAAGTCTCCTGGGCTTTTGTTTCACTACAGTCTGAATTGGGGCCTGATAGTCATATACAACTAATGCCCTCCCCAGTGACGCCAGTGCTGCTATACTCCAGAGCCACACGTTGAGTGCAAGGCCTTCCACAAGCTACTTATTGCTGCGTTAGTGACTCTATAGAAAAGAGTTTCCAGTCATCATTACATCCCTAGACCAGTGAGCTTTCAACAGATACCAAATGGGTGGTGAGGAAAACTGGATTTAGAATACTAGATTTAGATTTAATTTAGAATTTAAATTAAATTGCCTTTATCATTGAGTTCATTGTTTATCAAATGACTGCATGTACTACTTTGGATAACAGAAGGAAAGACACATAAGAGAGTGGCTCTGCCCTCTGGATTCTTACCATCTAATGGCAAATAGCAGCAAAGGGGTGGTTAGAAATCAAGGATGTAAAGGGATTCTTCTCAGAGTGGACTTGAAACAAAACACCTCCTGTAAGCTAGGTGGGTCAGGGTCAGTAACCCCAATTAGTCTTATTCATCCCAAATTTAAACATCTTCCCACAGACCACAGCATCCGTCCACCACAAAGTATTTGTGTACTGTGTAAACCATCCTCTGTATTTTCTTTTCCTTTCAGGCCAACAGTTCAGAAGAGACAGTCTTGCCCAGCCCAACTGCAAATGCCAACGTGCTGGAGCACCTGAAGTCACAGAATGAGGATGAGGCTCGCTTGACGGTTAAACTTGTCCTTCAAGGCCTTGAACTGTTCCTTCAGGAGAGCTTGAGGGCTATTCGGAATGCGGAGTCAAATGGGGAGATCTAAAGTGATCAGTTCATGGGCATTTCTTCCTATGGTCAGAAAACATGTTCTGTCCACTGGGTATCTACCTTATCTTGTTCTCTACGAAGAACTGATTGTATAAGTGTTAGGACACTATTTTATTATTTTTAATTTATTGATAATTTAAATATATAAAATTTGAGTTAATTTATATGTGATTGATATTTATAATTTTATGAAGTGCCACTTGAAATAGTATAAGTAATGGTTTTGAAAAAATACTATAAAAGTATTGAGTATCCTCTGTTTCAGAGCCAGATCATTTCTTTGAATGTATAAGCTTACCTCAATAAAATGCTAATTTATATATATTTTAAAAGAAATGTTTGTGTTGCATGTTTCATAATGTGAGCCGTCTTTTTACCAAAAAAGTCACATTCCTTAAAAAATCAGCAATTAAGCCTATGTGTATTACATGAAGCTAAGTACAATGAAAGTCAAAATGGCTTTTGAATGGTCAAAAGAGACAAAAGTCCTTTACTGAGCCTTAAAGGCATACACTGACAGGAAGAAGACTGCCTCAGAGAATCATGATAGGAACTAAATTTGCTGGAAGAATAAATTTTTGAGGATCTAGCAATAATTGTAAGGTTTAAAAAAATGCTAGAGTGACCAGTTTTGTTTCCTGACCTGGACAGTTACAATTCCAATGAACTAACAAAATTTACAACTGCCCTATATATATATCAGTTTGCAACTGTTGGATTTGATAAGGAATCCCTTTCTTTGAAAGTCTGATTTTGTCAGCTGAGCCTGTTCTTGGATTTGCACCCAAGTGGACTTCCTTTGTTTTTATTTAATTTCATTTATGACTCTGTGTTTGACAAAGCTAAATATAAATAGGATTCTTGTTACCACTAGTATCAAATGTTAAAAAAAAAAGAAAAGAAAATCTATAATCACCTAGAGAAAGATATAATTTAGTATCTATTGCATACTAGGTGCCATGCTAAACATGTTGCATCCATCATATTATTTAATCTTAATACTTGTGCACCCTTCTGGATATGAGAAAGTGATTTACCCAAGTCACTCATCTGGAAGATAAGGCATGAGTGCAGGCTTGAAATCCAAGTCTACCTGCATCCAGGTTTCCTACTCTTAACTTTTAGGTTCCCTCACCTCTCAGGAAGTGAAATATGAATATCAAAAGTCACAAAACGTTTAAGTAATAGAGAGTATATCTAAAGATGCAATCAAAGTCTTTGAGACAAGAAAACCACTTCTACAAGACAGAAGAGCACAATCTTCCAAAGTTATGCCTATCTCCTGTGGTTCCTAAAACACTGCACATACCTATATGTCACAGTTTCTGCCACAATGTGCCACATCTTAAAACTTTTTTTTTTTTTTTTTTTTTTTTGGTGGAACCGGGGATTGAACTCAGGCCCTTGCACTTGCCAGGGAAGTGCTTATTCCACTAAGCCAACTCCCCAGCCCCCACCTCTTAAAACTAATGGCTTTTTTTTGCTAGCCAACAGGCAGGTTCCTCAAGAAAGCAGACTCTGTATATCCATCTTTGTCTTCTAGATTCATGACCCAAAACCTGATCAAAGTGTGTCACAAAAACCATGTTTAATGAAGAAAGCATATTTAGATAAGCAAGAAGAAGATATTTCATTTCTTGGAAGCATATAGGATTAAGGGAAACTACTAATTCTGCATGTAGAAGGTGATCAATTGTGTCAACTTGAGAAGTTAAGAGCTTAATTAAATTGGCTCAGCAATTCCACATTCTGGGGTATGGAGGTCCAATCCTAGAGTGACTCATCACTTAAAGGAAAATGAGGAAGGACAAAGGGTCCCATTCTTCTGGGAGGAGCTACAGTCTTTGCTGGCAGCTTGGACATCACTGGCTTCTAGCACACACTCTTGGTTTCTGCCTTGGATCCTACAGCTTCGGTATAGGCTCATCAGACTTCCTGGACAGACCCATCAGCCTCCTGATATAGACTTGCAAGAACACTGCAGTGAGCTCCAGACCTTGGATTCAATCCTTCAGTCTCCGGTGTACAGATGCCCTCTGCACACTTCCTCATCCAACTCTGTGGCCGACCATCGCAAGCCAATCTTATAATTTCTTATACATTTGTACATCTTGTGTTATATCTGTACCTCTAGTAAAACCCTGACTGATACACTGTAGCTTCATTTTAAGGAAAAAAAGCAACAATTTGAAAGAAACTTTCTTAGGATTTCTAAAAGAGGCAATGAAAAGCCAGAGCATGTCTCTGTACTTCCATGTCCTTCCCCCCAGTGGTAGTATCCTTTATTTGCCTTCTTATCTCAGCTCATCATGCCTATAATCCCAACACTCTGGGAGGCTGAGGCAGGAAAATTGAAATTTGGAGCCCAGGCTTGGCTATTTAATGACTTACCAAGACTCTTTCTCAAAAGATTATAAATTGTCTTTTTAAATTTTTTTGTTTGTTTTGTTTCTGTTTTTCTGGCGGTACCAAGGATTAAACTCAGGACCTTACCCTTGCCAACCAGGTGCTTATGCCACTGAGCTATCTTCCTGGCCCTGTCTTTTTAAATTTTAAAGGGGTCCAAGGGATGTAGCTCATGTGAAACCTTTGGGTTCAGTCTTCAGTATTAATTAATTAATGAAGAATGGTGATGAGAGAACCAATTTAGACAATGTAACATAGCTTCTGCACTTTGTTTCAATACAACACTGTAAATTTGGTACAGATTTTCCTTTCTTAACCCTGGTAATATAAAAGTTCTGTCTTTTAACAAAGCTTCCCCCAAATCTAACCACTATAGATTTCTTCCTCCAGGGCAGAAGTTCCTCTAGGCAGGGGAAAATCCACAGGGGCCAAGACCTAAGAGGAGTCAAGAAAGAAAAAACAACCAACACACTCTTAATTTTAGAGACCATGGATCATAATTAGGATCAAAGTAAGCTTCCCAAAATTAAAGTTAACTCTGAAAACAAAGAGAAATTGCAGATCAATAAATCCATTCTTCAATCAAAAGCGTGTTGAGCACCATTTATTAGTCAAGGAGTGTCTATGATAGAGGTGAACATGATAGAAATGTCCTGCTTGGTTTACCTGGTAACAGGGCAAACAGACATTTAACAGTGTTAGAATTGATGAGATTTACAAAAGAGAAATATGTGGTGCCCTAAAAACCTATCCTGGGGCACTGATAGCAGGGAGATCTAACCAAACCTGGGAGGAAGCAATTATGAAAAAGCTCTTAATGACAAGAATTTTTGATAAGATAGAAAAGATATATAATCAGGAAGAACTAATTGTATATGCAAAGGTGCAGATCAACAAAAAGCGTGTTTTAGTTGAAATACTGAAAACTACATCATATCCAATGTATAATGAGCAAGAAGAAGGTGGTTGAGATGTGGTAAAATGAGAGATGGGAACAAAGCATCAACAGGATTAAAAGCCATATTCAAACTTTTCAAATGTATTCCATAGATGGTAGAAAGTACATTTTAAGTAATAGAATGTCAAATGAATTTTCATATTATATTAGTTAGTCTTCTCATTGCTGAGACAAAAATCCCCAACACTCAAAGTTAAAGGGGTAAAGGTTTATTTAGACATAATTTATAGAAGTTTCTGTCAATAATCAGCTTGATCCAAGGCAGGCTAGCACGTGGCAGAAGGGCAATGGTTCACAGTGGTGGACAAAAGTAACTAAGACAGATACTGGAGAGATGCATCTATAATCTAAGAAATTCCAGGTATTGCCCGCAATTACCAGAACATAGGAGTAGGCATGTAAAGATCTTCCACAGTAGGTTTCAGCAGGAACACAACCTTGCCAATAATTTGATTTCAGAATTCTACCACAAGAACTGTGAGAGAATAAATCCTTGCTGTTTTCAGCCACCACGCTTATGGTAGTTTGCTATGGCAGCACTAGAAACCAGCACACAGGATGGCTTAAATAAAATTGCTATAGTAACAGAAAGACAAGGGCCAGTATTATTATGAACAATTTTTTATTTTTATTTATTTATTTGGTTGATTAGTTTTGTTTTGTAGTTTTGGTTTTCTTGGGCTTTGAGGTGTTGTTGTTGTTGTTGCTGCTGCTGCTGTTTTTCAGACAAGGTCTCCGTATGCAGTTTAGGTTGCCCTTAAACTCACTCTGTAACCCAGGGTGTTCTCCAACTGGCACTGGTTGCCCTGCCTCAGCCTTTTAAGCACTGTGATTACAGGTGTGTGCCACCACACCCCACTAAATTTGAAGAGTTTCTGGTTTTTGACATTGAGGTTTTCTTTCCTGCTGGTTGGTATGGGGTCAGAAGGGTAGCCTCCAGTCTCTTGCAGAAGATTTTATTAATAGGACATACATTATGAGAGAGAAGAGAGGCAAAAAAGAGAAGGCACTCAAGAGTTCCTGGTGGCAGGTAATTGCTAGGAACATTGGACTGTGACACCTAGTAGTCAGTTTCAATTTATCTTCTCTTACTCAGATAACTTTCATAAGATTTTTCACCAATGTAGACAAACATCTGTTTATCATGCACAAACCCAACTCTGAAGAATGAAATCTACTTCTTGTTCACTTTAGGGGGCAAAATAGACAAAAGATAGTTGAAATCATAGCAGAGTCAGAAAGGAGACATCAAACAGTGACCAAAGAGAGAAGTGATAGGCAACAACCAGGCTGTGTAAGACCCTACCAAGAGAATGGACCCAGAGCCCAGACCCAGCGAGTGAGTGAGAGGATCCCGGGCAGTGGGATCCTGAACAGATCCAGAGTGCAGGCCCGGTGAGTGAGTGAGATGACCTGGGGCCACTGGATGCTGAACAGGCCCAGCGAGGAACCCTTCAGCAGAGCTCCCTGCAAAGAGGCTAGAGTCAAGACCCACCCAGCTGATTCAGGAGCAGAACATCTTGCCAGAGAGACACAAAGGGTTCAACTCTAATGCCTGCAGCAGAAAGAAATGGAGCACAGCAACCAGATCCAAACAAAACCCACCTGGAGTAATCTGAACTTCATAGATC